TCTCTTCCTCACTCTCTTGTTCTGCCTTTTCAATAAATAAGCAAATCTTTATTACAAAATTGCAACACAACTGTTATGAAATAAGTAATCTATAAACTCAGATTTCAATGGAGGATAGGAGAGGCAAGTTGATTTCACTGTTACCAAAGTGTCGGGGGCGGGGGACAGAGAGGGGGATTGTCTTTCAGACAGTAAGTGAAACACAGCTTCAACATGGAAAAGAAATCACAGAATCACTAATATGAGAAAAAAGGTAGGGATGGACACTGGGCACAGCAGTTAAGTTGTCACTTGGGGGCCTAGCACGATAGCCTAAAGGCTGAAGTCCTCACTTTGCATGTGTCAGGATTCATATGTGCACCAGTTCATGTTCCAGTTGCCCTACTTCCCTTCCAGCTCTCTGCTTGTAGCCTGGGAAAGCAGTTGAGGATGATTCAAAGCCATGGGACCCTGAACCCATGTGGGAGACCAAGAAGAAGCTCCTGGCTCCTGGTTTTGGATTGGCCCAGTTCTGGCCATTGCAGCCACTTGGGAGAGTGAATCAATGGACAGAAAATTTTTCTCTCTGTCTCTCCTTCTCTCTGTAGATCTGCCTTTCCAATAAAAATAAACAAATCTTACAACAAAAACTACAAGTCTAAAGCAAAGCATATTGATACATGTTACCTTCCAGCTCCCATCACTAGTGCTAGGGAGCTTCCAAGAGATTCCCTCAGTGAGAGTTAAGGCAACAATGGCCCATGCCTTTTGGGGGAAGGTAGAGGATGCCTGTCCTATCCCTAAAGCTCAAGAGGACCACTTAAAGGTAACAGTGACTTAGCACCAGGAATGCACATTCCTGGCAAATCTGAAGAACGAGGAACTGGAGGAAAAGGCAAGAGAGATAGATGGCTGACCTGGAACCACGACCAGAGTTTGTGCACAGTGAGTGCTCCCCATGGACTAGGAGTGCATCCTCTGAGAGAGCAAAAATGCTAAGGTACAGAGGTCCACACACCTTAGCAAGATGAAGAGGATGCTACTACCAGCTCCACAGGCCAAGTATGGAGCAAGCGATCAGCCAGAATATAGATGCTCTGTCAACATCAAGGAATTAGAAGTGAGAATGTGAAGTGACTGAGGTGAGCGCTGGAAGCCACAAGTTCTAAACATCTGCCAAGCCTAGAGAAACACGAAAGCTCAAACACCATCCATCTTCAGGATTTTTTACTCCTCATTTCTCTTCTCTTCTTCCTTGTCTAAAGAGAAAGGGATCAGAAACCAGTACTGGCAAGACAGAACAAGATCAGAAAAGCCAAGCCAGAAGAGAAAGCAAGCCAGGGATGCCCTTCCCCTCCCGTTTCTAGGGTCACCGCCCAGCCCCACCCCGCAGCAGGCAGAGCAGAAGTCGGCACGGGGCAGAAGCTTCACCTATAATTCAGATTTGTTCTGTGGATTTTATTTACCAGCACTGAATATTTTAATAACAACCCTGGGTTGTTTATGACTTGGTTACTGTAACACAATTTATATTATCTAAGAGCAACCAGAAAAATTCAATTCATCCATGGCAGAGAATAAACCGAAAGGGTCTCAAAGGGGATTATACTGGGAGGTGGGGTAGAGTCAAAACTGACCAAGTCAAACTGCATAATGACATCCTCCAAGTCCTGCTTTCCAACTTAACTGCCAACTCCAGGGCCAACGCAGGGAGGGAGAGGGGACAGAATTACACAAGCATGGTTTTGCAAAACTGAATGCACCCAGCTTCTCTACCTGTCCTGAGATTATCCAGCCATTAACAATTCCAGAAAGTTGCCACAACAGAACTCAAGAGTCTAATGTAAATTACTGACACCTGACACAAGTGAGTTTAGATATGTTTGACTTCCTTTTTTATTTTTTTCAACTTCCTTTCACAGGCCAAGAATGTGAGAGAATGCCACTCTAACGCCTAGCCAAATCTCCCTTTCATAAAGGGTGATTAGAGAACTTCTGTTCTTCCACTGTGAGAAGCTGTTAGGATCTTTTCTTTTTTAAGATTTATTTATTTCTATTGGAAAGGCAGATTTACAGAAAGATGGAGAAACAGAGTGAAAGATCCTCCATTCATTGGTTCACTCCCCAAGTGGCCACAATGGCGGAACTGAGCCAGTCTGAAGCCAGGACCCAGAAGCCTTTTCTCCCATGTGGGTGCAGGGTCCCAAGGCTTTGGGCCATCCTTGACTGCTTCCCTAGGCCACAAGCTGGGAGCTGGAAGGGAAGTGGGGCAGCCAGGATATGAACCAGCACCCATATAGGATCCTGGCACATGCAGGGCAAGGACTCTAGTCATAGGCCACTGGGCCTGGCCCTATGTTAGGCTCTTAACAGAATGAAAACACATATGGATGTAAAATCTTTATAATTCAATAGTAGAAAAAGTACTATACACATTTTGAAACCTTTTAGCAGAAAGCTGTCAAAAGCAGTTTACAGGTATATTAAGTGTAGCTTGGTTTATGCTTAAATGATCAGAATATTTTAAAAATATATCACTCTATTGCTACGTCACTTCAAGGATGGCCAGAAGTGCCTGAGATATGCCACTGCAAATCCAACGCAGGTCACCCCATCCCTATTTTAAGATCAGGAAAATGAGGCTCAGGGTTCAGTGATCTATAAGGTTAATACTAGTAGTGGTGAAACAGAAGTTCAAAATCCATATGCTGAGTCTGATTCCCAGGGCGGGCTCTGAACTCCACTGCCACGACAACGCACAAGGACTGACTTGCTGCCTCCTTTCCAAATTTTCCCTTTCTTTCTTCCTTTTTTCCTCCCTTCCTTCCTTTCATTTGTCTCTTTTGTTCCTTTATTTTTCTATACATCCATATGTACTCATGATGCTGTGCTTGCGGTATTCACAATAAGCGCATATAACTGCGAAATCTGACAAGATCTAAATAGTATACAAGGGAAACAGGCCTTCTTACATGCTTTCAGAAACTGCAGGATGCTGACTGCAAATCAGCACTATTGTCATACTTTTCTATCCTCAGACTTCATGGGAGTCAACAGAGGCAAGCGACAGGAGTGGCAGAATCTTCAGATATTTCAGCACAGTCAGTAACAGACACCCTTTGCCTAGCATGAGTTCACCACTGTCCCTCCCGCACACCCCACACTGCCCTGGGACCGGCAGTCAGGCTCTGAAATCCTGCTTGCTGCACAGCAGTGTGAGAGAAGGGGGTGCTGCTGACACCCACTGGGTGATGGTGCTAGACACCCTATAATGCACTGGGCAGCCCACCATGAGCAATCTAGTCCAGAATGTCAACTGAGAACCACTAACATAAAGGACTAAATGAGGCACTTCGCAGAGGGCATGGAAAGAGTGTTTAAAAGTTACAAACTGCCAACACTAAATGGACAGTCTGAGTAACATCCAGCAAAGATGAGGTGCAGCAGTTAATGGCTGAGGTGGGCAGGAGCACGGTCCTGCTCTCTGATTGGACTGGAGGTGGGCACAGAGAAAGTGACATCTTCACACCTCCACCAGTGCTGCTCAAGTATGTGAAAAAAAGCGCAAGCTGGAAGTGTTTATGCAGAGAAGAGGAACCCTTGCTTTTATGAAAGAGTACTGGGTCCCACCAGGAATTCAGAATTTCCACTACTTCCTGCAGAGTTTCCACTATTTCCCCTCAAGGGTTACCATAAAAAATAAGCACAATGTCTGTCATGCATATATCCAGAAAGAGCCAGAATGAATGAATATGCAAATGCATTGTTCTGGAAACACACCCTGAACATGAGCTTTCTGAAGCTCAAACACTCCCTGTCAGGAACCTGGCTGTGAGCCCCCAAGTGTGTGAATGCCCCCAGCACCTGTCTCTGATGCTTACACGTGCCTTCCTCTCAGTGTGGGGACCTTCTGCCACAGGGAGACCCAGACAGTACTGCCAGAGCAAACACCAAAACAAGAGAAAGTCTCGCACTGCCCCCATCTGCAAAGCTGAGCTCCACCGCCCTGTCCTGGGACCTGTGCCATCAAGCCTTCCCACCTTCAATACGTCACATCTCTTTCTTAAAATCACCCTCTTCCCTAAGATCGTCATTCAGTCTCCAAAATGCCAACTAGCAGAGGATTTTATTCCGGGAGAACTTTGGTAGTTAAGTCCGACTTCACAGGTGGTTTGGCCCACAAACCCCACCCAGGCCCTCTTTTCACACAGGTCACCCTGAGGGGCAGTTCAAGTTCAGCTTTACCACTGGAAGATTGCCTGGTCATCCCAACCAACTCTCAGAAACCACAAAGCACTTCTCCATCAGTACAGTTGCGGCTGAGAGGCCAACAGAACAACAGAATGGACGTGAACTGCTCTTGATGCAAACACCAACTTTCTCACTGTCAACGTTTACTAAACTGGAAAGAAAAAAAAAGAAGAAGAAAAACTAACTAGTTCAGGGGGGCGACCCTGAATCAATGACGGCTGGCCAAATTTGCAGGCTACCTGATCTTTGAATATTCACCTTTTGATCGTCTCAAATATTTAGCAGAGCGCTGACACCCAGCAATTCATCTAATAAGCTTTTGTGTTTTTTTTGGGGGGGGCATTTTGTCAAAAAGAGAAATATGACTCTTTAAATCCCTCAAATGGCTCGTAAGCTACGTTTTGTCTTACATTCCTCAGAAAGTTTATTCTCATCTTTAACGGCATAACCAGAGAGATTCCGGGTCAGGTAAGGTAAACACGGTACTGTACTGCCTGTGGTCCAGGGATGCGAAGACTTGTGGCTCCCTGGCAGATGCCCGAGGAAAACGATTTCATTACTGTGGAACAGGAAGTAAATCCTCATCCATTCTGGGCTGGCCTCGCCGAAAGGGAGTGCCAGGTGCCGCACCCCCACTCACGCACCACTGTGCCCTCCAGTTCCAGCCCGCTCCTCCCAAGTTTGATGGCTTTGAGACCCGTTGCGGCTGTTGCTTCTCCGAGCGAGCAGCCCCCTCCTCCGCTCGCCTGCCACCGCCACCGCGCCCTTACCTTGGTGAGCTGAGCGATCTTCTTGCTCATCTTCAGGTGCATGTCCTGGCTGTAGTCCATGGTGTGCCCCGCCAGGTGCGCGGCGGCCGATGAGGGCGTGAATTTGCCGTGGTGGTGCTGCTGCCAGCTCATGCCCGGGGTCGCCATCTTCCCGACAGACCCCGGCCGGGACACCTGTCCCCGCGCCGGCCCGGAGACCCGCGGAACACGGACGTCTGGGAGGCCACTGCTGGGGCGGCCGCTTCCCGGCCCGCCCCTCGGCGCTCCCTCCACGCGGCCGCAAGAGCCCCCAGACCCGCGACCCTTCGGTCACCCTCTTCTAGGGACGGGGCGGTCCCACCGACCCGAGGCCGCGGGCGACGCCGGAGCGGGGCGGACGCCCGGGCCCGACCCCGGCCCTCTCCGCAGCCGGTGCCGAGCCGAGGGAGTTGCGCGCAGCCCGGCTCCCGGGTCCCGCTCGCAGCCCGCACCCTGGACCCGGTGAGGTGTCGGCCACCAGGGCTGCGAAGAGAGAAGGCGACGGGGCGGGCTGCAGGAAGGGAGGCGGGGACGCGGAGCGGGACGCGGGGACGCGGAGCCGCCGTTACCAGGGTGCGCGGGGCGCGCGGGGCGCGCGGGGACGGCAACGTCATTTCCCCGCAGCCGAGCTCCGCCCCGCGCCGCCAGCCCCGCAGCTGCACTGGGGCCTCGCGGGCCGGGACTGCCCCCTGTGGTGGGATAGCAGGGCCCCGCTCTGGGCCGCGCCACGAACCCCGCGTGGTCACCTTGGATTCCTCGGATGCGAGCTAGCTTCCAGAGCAGTGCCTTGAGCAGCCTCGGGCCCCCCCGGGCACCAGGATGAGCCCGAGCGCACGTGGACTTGCTAGTGATGCTATGGTGGGGAAGTAGCGGGAATTCCAGGAATCCCTGCCTTCTCCCTTCCTTTCAAGCTCTCGCACAAGGTAGTGTCTTGGCCCGTCTGCTGCCTGCCAGGCCGCTTGCTGCATTCTCTCCCCCATTGCGTCACTGGGAAGTGAACAGGTTTCTTTAATCAATGAGCATATCCCGGAACCTCTGCTTTTTCTAGGCTATGACATCTGTGAAATTTGGTGAGCTGTGAGTCGTTGCAGACAGGCTTGGAGTGAAAGTCAAGGGGGAAAACAGACTTCAGCTCCTTGAGGATTTGAAATTGTGCCAAAATCTATCCTGATTTGTAGATTTTCAGCCTCCAAGATGTGTTATTTTCTCTTGATATCTGCAAGGAAAGCAACTTTTCTTTTTTTAAACTTGCAACCTATCTTAAAGTAAGTGAATTGTTTTATAGGTTTAGGCCAACATTAATTTAAGAATTTTTTGAATACTTATTTTTATTGGAAAGGCAGATTTATAGAGAGAAGGAGAAACAGAAAGATTTTCCATCTACTAGTTCACTTCCCAATTGGCTGCAATGATTGGAGCCGAGCGGATTCAAAGCCAGGAGCCAGGAGCCTCTTCCTAGTCTCCCATGTGGATGAAGGGTTCCAAGGTTTTGGGCCATCCTCTACTGCTTTCCCAGACCACAGGTGGGAAAGCTGGATGGGAAGTGGGACTGGGAGGAGGCTGGGCAGGGCCAGGCTGCAGCACCCAGCAGCATGCCAGGGAAAGGACTGAGGGCTACCCGGACCAAGCAGGGCTGCTGCTCCTGCTGGCACCTGTGAGATCTGGAACCTGGCAGGGAAACTTGGGGAACTCACTAGGCAGCAGCTCCTGCTGGGGATCACAGTTGCTGGGGCTGGGGGTGGGCCAGCCCCTCAAGTCTGTAGCACTAGTCAGTGTTTGTGTGGCCCAGTCTGGGAACAGCCAGGCTGGGCCAAGGCCTCAGCACTCTCTGGCACACAGAAGAGCTAGGACAGGGTTTGGGTTAAGCCTGGCTGGGCTAGGATGCAGCACCTGCCAGAGAGAGCTCAGAGTGCAGGTGAGCCATGCCAGGCTGGACTGAAGTACCTGCCAGCCTGTGTAAGTGCTGGGATTGGGAATAAGCCTGGTAGGGGAATACTGGGGACTCATCTGCTGGGCTGTAGCTCCCACTAGAGAATGAGAGAGCTGGAGCTGTGGGCAGACCAGGCTGGGCAAGACTGCAGCACATATGGACTGGGTCTAAAGGTGGGCCAAGCTTGGCTAGGTTGTAGTACCCACTGGTGAAAGCTGGAATGAATGCAGGCCAGTCAGACTAGACCACAGTCCTTACTGGTGAGTGCCAGGGTGGGGGGCCAGCCATGTCAGGCTGGGTAGCAGCTCCCAATGGCACATAAGAGATCCATTTTGGGGAGTAGACTGGGTAGGGAACTTGGGGAACACCCCTGCTAGGCTGCAGCTCCAGTTGGTGAATGTGAAAGCCAGACCTATGTGTGGTTTAGACCAGGCTGGGCTGTGGCACCTATTAGCATATCTGTAGGTCAGGTCTGTGGGCGGGCTGAGAAGAGTCAGTCCATAGCACATACTAGCTAGCAAAAGTGAGTGACAGGACTGGATGCAGACCAGGCCAGGTTTGACCTCAACATCGGCCAGGTTGAATGAGGGCTGGGGGTGGGTCGTACTGGGTTGGGCTGCTGCATCTGCTAAGGAGAGCTAGAACTGGGGGAAGACCAGGCTAAGCCAGGCTGTAGCATCTGCTAGCAAATGCCAAGATTGGGGGTAGGCCATCTCAAAATGGGCTGCTGCACCTACTGGCGCACTCCCAGGGCTGTGTAGCAAACCTGAGGGTCTCCTTTTTGGGCTCCTATTTCTACCAGTCAATGTGAGATGTAAGCCTGAGGGTGTGCTGATGTTGGGGCAGGCCAGTCTAGAATAGGCTGCTGTATCTGTAGGTGTGCACGAGAACCAAAATGGGTGCAGGCCAGCTGAGCTAGGTCATAACACCAGCTGGCAAGTGCTGGGACTGGATGCAAGTCATGTCAGGCTACACCACAGTACCCTCTGGCAGATGTAAGAATCAGGGCTGGAAACATGCCCCAGGGACTGTGGGCACTCTCCTGCTAGGCTATTGCTATTGCTACTGAGCACAAGAAGCAGGGCTGGGTACAGACCTAGCTGAGCAAGGTGGCAACATCTGTTGGCACACTTGACAGGTGGGTCTGGGGTGAGCTGGGCTGAGCCAGACCACAGCAGAGGCTGGCACATACAAAAACCGAAACTAGTGGCAGGCCTGCTGGGAGTTACTGGATCCCCTCAAGTAGGCCGAGGCACCTGCTAATGCATGAGGACCAGGTCTGTGGTGGGCTGACTGGGCTAGGCCACAGCACTTGTTGATCAACATGAGATATGGGCCTTGGGTGAAATTGACCAGGCAGATGAATGCACTTGTATGTGCATTGGCTAACGTAGCTGGCAGACCAAACCTGACCCTGCACTGGCTGGCACACTAAGGGTCAAGTCTGAGGTCACTCCAGGCAAGGTTGCTTGGGCGATTCCCCAGTTAGATCGCCAGACTCAGACCTTGGCTATAGGGGAACGTCACAGGATGTGTTGTCCAACCTTGGACAACATGTATCAGGAATGGTACATGGAATGGTACAGGAATTGCTGATACCTACGAGATGGACAGCGTGTCCAGATACACATAGGGGCATGACATCCAGCTCATCTAGTCCAATAGGGAGTATCAGCTGCTTTGTCAGAGGAAGGAAAGCAGAACAGGTTGGACAACTCTCCTGGCCATGCTTTGCAGCATGTTCCTGGACCTGTGGATGCTCTAAGGTAGACTTTGTCAAAGAAGACCTTGGAAAGATGTTCTCAATCCTGGAGCAATGAAACCAACTTCTCAAAACTGTCAAAAACCATTCAAGTGACACCCTCAGAATATACTTCCTTTCATCTGGGTCTCTAAGGCATCATCAAATGACTGATGGAGTTTGACAGCGTGGAGTGGCCCCCTCCTCCCCTCCTCTGTGGACATAGGAGAGAGGCAAAAAGGCAACTGAAGCATTTGTCTCACCCACCTACCTTGGTACCAGAATACCCTAGTCAGAAGTCCACATGGACGTGTACCCCCTCCACTATGTGAGCAATGTTAAAAATAAAATTTTTTAAATTATTTAAAAGACAGTGGGCACTAAGACAGATGGCACTAAGACAGCCAGAACTTAACCCAATGGTGAATTTTTGAGATGAAGTCATAGGAAATCATGTTAGGTCATTACAATACAGTTCACATTGTTGAAACTTGGTGACTTTATAGAGACCCCTTAGAAATAATCAAACATTTGCTTCCTGTCTTTTGCCATGTAATGTTCTTTGCCACCTCAAGACTGCTAGCAAGAATGTTATCACCAGAAGGATCCCATCCCTGAGGACCACTGATCTTAGAGTATGAGTGTCTAGGACCATGAATCACAGTAGACATCTTTGTAGAGTTAACTCACCGTAAGTATTTTGTGACAGTGATTGTAGTTTTGGTTTTACCACTTTGAAATTGTGAAAAGAGCATTGGAGTAAAAATCTAGAGACCAACATGTGCTTTCAGCTGAGTCACTGAATTTGCTCATCCTTCAAATGCCTTCTGTTAAAACAGACAGCGTCACCAGCCCCTCCCAACTCCGATGTTGATGTTAGATATTGTAGCCTTGGCCTACTTGGCAATTTTCGCTGAACTCCAGCGTATGAGTTTCTATCATCTCTCTATACCATAATCCAGGAGGAACTTTTTCCTAAATACAGACAAGCCACCCAGTGTTGTGCCATGAGCTTAATATTTTTGTCCTCCTTCAGTTAGATAAAACAACTTGGACATAGAATTCTATTAGATTATAATTAATAACATAGAAACATAATCATATCCCATAATCCCATCACTTAGAGCTTGGTTTTTAAAAATCTGGCAAAGAGGGCAGATTGTGCAGTGTGACAGATTAGGCTATCACTTGAAGAATAAGGTATAACACAAAGTGGTGAGTGTCAGAAGAATTCCAGTAAGGACATTTAACGTATTCTTTGGTGTCCTAAATGGCTTCATAAGAGCAAAAGAGTATGCTTGAAAGTACTCCTGAAGGATGGGTTTTGCAGATAAAGGCACTAGGGGAGGTAGACTCTAGCTCTAAGGTTGACAATGCCCACGTACTGGAGATGAAGGCATGACCTAGTTGAGAAACAGCAAGTAGTAAGATTTGGGTTGACTATCAGAATATAAGCAA